AGCCTCGAGGGCTCGGGTGAGTTTCGGATAGGCTTCAGAGTGGTTTTAGACTTAGAATAATAACTGGTGCAACTTTCATCCGGTGCTGAACTGCAGGCTTCCCAAATGCGAGGTCTGGATCGCAAGACCTCGCAAATGCGAGACTCGCTTTTATGAAGGACACTTCGCATTTGCGGTCATAGGTTGGGACTAGGGTTCTTGCAATTCTGTCGCTTTTGCGAGGGCATCATGTTTGCAATTACGAACAAATTGTTCGCATTTGCGATGGCAACAGAGGTTTGAAACCTTCGCATTTGCGAAGACTTTTTTGCATTTGTGGTGTGCCTGGTCAAAAGCTGAGAAAGACGGGATTTTAGCTCATTCTTTCAAATTTTCAACCCTAAACACGCTAGAGGCGGTTTTACCAAAGCCTTTCTTCCTCAATTCATTGGTAAGTGACTCTAATCTACCTTTTTTCAATTATCCATTATATTCCATAAGATTTCAACCCTAAATCTAAGATTTCCATTGTAGAATTAGGAATTGTAGTAAAATTTGAATTTAAACCTCGAATTGAGGTCGGATTTCGAATTGAACTACATAACTGGGCTCGGGGGTGAATGGGTGATCGGGTTTTGGTTCGAACCTCAAGTATTGACCAAGAGAGCCCGAAGGTTGACTTTTGTTGACATTTTCAATAATGATCTAAATTGATCCTCTTTCATTTGTGGGGTAATTTCTAAGGCTTATTTTGAATCGTTTGGTTGATAATTTGCTAGATTTGGTTGGTTCAGAGGCTTGTTCGAAAGGCAAGGCCGTAGTTGAACTTTGAATTGGTTGCGAAGCGAGGTAAGTGTCATGGTTAACATTGACTTGAGGGATTATGACTTATTTGCCTATTTACTACGTGTTTAATGGGTGGGTACAATGTATATGTGAGGTGACGAGTACTTATGCGTTGTTGTTAGGTTAAAGCATTCGGGTAGAACTTGTTTCCTTGTGATTTATTATCTCTTTAATTATGACATCCATGCTTAGATTAGATTATTACTATATGATCGTTCCTTCCGTAATTATGGATTAATTGGTAATGGTTGAGTATTTTTGGAAGTTGAGGTTTGGTATTTTGGAATCATAATTGACGTAAAGTACATCCCTTGCATTATTTATCTCCCGAATTTGTCTATTCATTATGACATAGTAAGGGAGAGTGTTAAAGCATAAAGAGTGATGTCGTGCCATTTTATTTCTTTAATTACTAATTAATACATGGTGAGGAATAGAATGAAAGCACAAAGGGTGATGTCGTGCCAATCTATATCAGTTATTCAGTGTTACATAGTGAGAATGAGAGTAAAAGCACGAAGGGTGATGTCGTGCCATTTTATTTCTCTTATGACATCATTTCAAGGTAAGGATGAGAGTAAAAGCAAGAAGGATGATGTTGTGCCATTTTCATATCGTATGTTATTTGTCCTCTTTGGTTGATGATTTATTTGACTGTCTGTGTTGTCTTTTCTGTTGTAGTTACCGTATCTTTCACCCATTTCGCATGTCCCCTCCCAAATTGTGCATATTTAATCTCTATTATGTTGCTGTTTGGTACATATATCTCTATTTGTACATGTTTAATTACGTGAGTGTCCTATCATAGCCTCGTCACTATCTCGTCGAGGTTAGGCTCTACACTTACGGAGTACATTGGGTCGATTGTACTCAAACTACACTCTGCACTCCTTGTGCAGATTTTGGTACTGGTCCCAACTGTACGTGAGGTGCACTAGCTCGGATTATCATTCAGAGACTTGAGGTAGATATGCTGACGTCCGCATACCTTGAAGTTTCCTTTCTCTTTCCTATTTTACTGTTCATTTCGTTCGAAACAGTTGTATTTATTTCAGACTCTATTTGTAGAACTTCTAGTAGCTCGTGCACTTGTGACACCGGATTCAGGGTTGTATTAGATATTTCAGTTGTTATGATTTTTCGCACTTTACTTCAGAATTTATTTTAGTTATTTCGGTTTCTTTATTATTATTTAATTTGAACTATTAAAAATGGATAAACTATTCTAACATTTGCTTGCCTAACAAGTGAAATGTTAGGCGCCACCACGGTCACGGGGATGAGATTTTTGGGTCGTGACATGATTATTCTTCCAATTTATCACGCTGTGTAAAGTTAAAGGATCATAACATTTATAGACTGAAGAATCATGATTCTCAAATTCTTTTGGAACAACTGCTTCCTTTTGCAATTCGCGGGGTCCTATCGAACCATGTCTCTAATGCTATCACCGAGCTAAGTATTTTCTTCAGAGAGTTATGTTTAAAAAAATATAAGAATTGATGATGTGTTGGATAAATTTGCAACTCAAATTCCACTAACATTGAGAAAAATAGAAAAAATCTTTCTACCAACATTTTTTGATATTATGGTGCACGTGGTCATTTGTCTTTCAATAAAGGCTAAGCTTGTTGGACCTGTACAATACAGATGGATGTACCCAATAGAGCAATATATTTTAGTTTTTTGTAATTTCGATTTAATTTTATGTGGCTTTTTAATTTATCATGCTAAGCATTTAACCGAATATTATATCATGTAGATTCTTGAGCAAATTGAAATGTTATGTTGGCAATAGAAGTCGACCTGAAAGATCTATTACATAAGGGTATATTGTTGAAGAAAGTCTAATATTTTATTCAAGGTAATTATATGAAAGTGGAAATGGATATAGTCGAATGGACAAAAATGATGAAGGTGATCATGTTGAGTCATACTGTGGATTATCAATGTTTCAACAAAAAGGTTGCCCTTTATTAAGAGATACATCCAGAAATCTTGAAGAGTTTGAGCGAAAACAAGTTCATCTTTATGTTTTGAGAAATTGTGAAGTAGTTCAACCATTTTTACGGTATGTTTCCTTATGGTATTGTACATCGCTAATTTGATTTTGTTAGCTTTTTCTCGATTATTATTTTTATTTTTAAGCAGTGAATGTGGGCAGAATAGTAGGAACATGGACTTCGATGATTGATTTTTTCATCGAGTAAGTTTTCATTGTATTTTCAATTCCAATTTTCATACTTATTTAGTATCACTAGATTAATTATTTATTTTTGTACAGATTGTACAAATGCACAAGGAAGAAAATTTACATGGAAATTGCGGGTTATATTTTTTTAGCTAGAGGTCCTTTTGATGGAATTCAAAGATTCAAGGGTGGTGAAATAAATGGTTTTAAGTTTCATACTAAATAACTCGAAGGAATCAAGGTCAAGCAAAATAGTGGTGTTTTAGAAAGAGGAGTAACGAATGGTCAAAACATAAATTATAATGGTGTTCTAACCGAAATACTAGAACTTCAATACTTCAAAGGTAAATGGATTGTTTTATTTAAATGTGATTGGTGGGATGTTGATCACATTGGAAAAGGAGTAAAAATAGATAAACATGACTTTGTTAGTGTCAATACTAACCAAAAGCTAGCAACAAATGAATCATTTGTGCTTGCATCTCAAGCTGAACAAGTTTTATGTCATAATATTCATCCCAATTGGTCAATTGTCTTGAATGGCTTCATCATCCCAATTGATAGTACTGTCAGTGTAGAAATATTTCAACAAGATGCTCAAGATTTCTCGTGTACATTCGAGGAATATGAAGACTTTATATACTGGTGAAGAAATGATCTTGTTGTTATCAGCACTTATACAACCTCAACTGATAATATTATTGAAGACATGGAATCAATTTCTGAAACTAATGATGAAGATTTGTTACTCTAAATATATAAAAGCCTTATATGCATATTTATTTTATACTCAGTAAATTTTAAAACTTTTACTTATTTACTTGAGAGATGATGTTTGATTCTTTATTAGTTTACTAAATTTATGTATTACTTTATTAAATTGAATTATTTTGATTGAATATGAATTAATATTTAATAGTGTTGAGTTGATAATTGTAGTTGGATTGAGTTCAAATATTCTTTTCTACAGGATGTATGTTGATGTATTATCTAGTTACAAGGGAAACTTATCGATTTTTTTTGTTAGATCAATAGATTAAATTTTAAATATAACCCAGTTGTTTATCGAAACAAATTTTGTATTGATTTCATGAATGTAGAAATCTTCTGAAAAGCAGGTATATATGAATATTGCTATAATAATTCATCTAACTATGAAACTTTAGTTATGTTTATAGTATTTTACGGTTACTTTAAGTGCATGATCAAAAAATATTATACTTTGCTACGACAATTTATTTTGTTTCTACATTTGTAGCTATATTATTTTGTCATGACAAATAAATTTAGTTATTATGTCCCAACAGTTGCTATGATTTTTGAAAATTGAGGCAAAACCATTTTTTTAGCTATAAAATTATGTTCAAACACATGTATCGTGGGTAAAAGATTACAATTGCTGCACTGATTTCAAATGCAGAGCAAAACTTCAAATTGGCTACACTACTTATTGTCGCTATATAAATTCGTAGCTATATCGTTTTGTCATGATAATTAGTTGTTTCTATAGAGCTAACTATAGGCACAAATTTTATAAATTGAAGCAAAGATGTTCATTTAGCTATAAAATTGACATAATTTATTGTGGAAAAAATAGTTTTTTACTATAACAACTTCAAAGACATGGCAAAAGCTAATAATTAGCTACAGATGTTTTAGTGTAGCAATAAATTTGTAATTATTTTGGCAGTTATTGCCACGATACCGAGAAACTGTAACAAAAATGAGAAATTAACTGTCAGTTTAATTTGTGTAGCTAAACAATTTTATGAAATTATGAATAGCCACCAAAATTTGATTTATGTGGCTAATGTTAGGTAATAGCCATATTTTATAAACTCGTAGCTGAGAATCCCTAGTTATAGATACATAATGTTGTATTGCTACTTAAAGACAGGTTGTAAATTAGATAGGCAAAATATGGGGGAGAAGAGGCCTATAAATTCATGGCTCTTCATGAGGCAAAAATTGCACTGTAATAATACATAATTCTCTTATCTTTCAGCTCCGTCTTAGTAATATTGTTATCATGGCTCGCAGTTATGCTTTCTATTTCACTTATGGTGATGTCTGGTAAATGACCTTTTTCTACCCCCTCACTGCCTTTTTATTTGATATGTCTCTGTGTTGATTTACATATGTCAATATAATGTGTAATCTTTTTCACGTTCGACCACAATGGTATAACAAACTGATTTTGACACTTGATTATGTTTAATTCATTATAATTTATTTGGCTCAATCTCCAAAAGTAAAAATACTTGTTGTACACTACTAGAAATTAAGCCTATGGCAACCCTTTCAAAACTGTAGCTATAGCTACTATAACCATCCTTATGGGGTTAATGGAACGGTTTGGGACGCGTTTCAAGATCCAGCATTACAATAGGTCAATTTGAACGGTTAATTGCAACGGATTCAAAACCGTCTCCGTATATAGCTACTGTAACGGTTATGAAACTGTTATCATTGATCAATCTAACGGGACAATTTTCTGTTTGCTGGAACCGTTATAAACCATTGTGTTATAATTATACTAATGATTTATTAAGTCTATTGCGACGATTTTCATGATATATTTTAAGGTTTTGTTATATATTGGAACAATTATCTGTACCCTATTGCAACATATTCCAACGGTTATTAGAGGATTGCTATTGTTGTTTGCTAGGTCTATTGGAACGGTTATATTGTCTATTACAACAATTCGCTATTGTAATTTCTAATATTTATGGAAGCAAAATGATGAATATTTTTCTATGCAATAAAATTTTATACACTATAACTTATATAAACCACGAAATAAGATTAAAATTACCAACTCACATTATACATATACAAAAACCAAATATGAATATATTGTTTGATCAACAATTCAAAAGTCAAAATAGATAGATGAGTTTTAATTTGCATACAAAAAGTTCTGAACTAAAATATCCTTGAACATGATGATAGAAAGTCTATCAACGTTCAATAACACTCAAGTAAGGTCTTCATCACTGCTGTCATCCCCAATCGATGCACCTACAAAATTCAATCAGAAATAATTAAACAAAGAAAATTTTAAGATAATTGAATCACAAAGTAATTGAATGACCAATTTGATAACTCAAAAATTTTCTAACTCTGCAAATTTTTAAAATTTTCGGCAAAATTTTCTCAATAAATACGACTATCCCATATATTTTAACCTGCTCAAAACAATATTATCTTATACACAAGAATAATTTTCAACTCTCCAGTTTGTTACAATGATATTTAACTTCTTTAACAACATACAACAAACCAGAATCAGCAACAGACAAACCATATCAAAGAACTCTCTAGTCTGTTGTTTTTTAATCAACAATCTGCCTTAACATCTTCGAACACTATTACATCATAAAACAGCATCACAACTAAACTGGACGATAGAAAGAAACATCAAACAACAACTGAACGAGTTTTCTCAGCTAAATTTCGAAAAGGAAAATGAAGATGTGGTAATAACTTTCTGGTAACAGAAAGAAACATCAAACAACAACTGAACGAGTTTTCTCAGCTAAATTTCGAAAAGGAAAATGAAGATGTGGTAATAACTTTCTGGTAACAGAAAGAAACATCAAACAACAACTGGACGAGTTTTCTCAACAAAACTTCGAAAAGAAAAATGAAGATGTGGTAATAAATTTCTATAAATACAAGGCTACATGAAGCACTTAAGAAGCATTAAGCCCTGGCAAAAATACTGTGGATCAACTCACAATGTATTCAATGCATATTTAGAAGATTAGATTAATGTTAAAAATAACTGATATTCTTTACAGTAGATGATAATCTACTTTCCTTTTAAGACAAGTAGGAAATTCACATACAATAGGAAGAAATTAGAAAAGGAAAACAGTAAAGCACCCTTAAGCCTATTAAATAAGATAATATAGCTACACTGGATCAATAGTTCACAAATTAGAAGCAACAATAAAGTTAAACCCTATGCGCTCTGGTATTTGGTCAAAACTAGTAGTTTTCTTGCTTCAATCATGAGTATGGAGCAACTGCAATAATATCTTTTGGTGTTGTACATCTTGTCCAAGTATGATTGTATTTTGTTTAGTAGTTTTAGGAAATTTCAGATTGCAAGGCCTTTGGCTAGTCTTTAAAAAATAGCAGTAGCAAGCAGAGTGTATATGCAATAGCAACAAAGTGAAACACGAAAAGGAAAAAAAAAACAGCAGCAGTGAAGCAGAGAAAGAAGGGAAAGACAATAACAATGGCCAAGAAGAAGAAGAAGAAGAAGAAGAAGAAGAAGAAGAAGAAGAAGAAGAAGAAGTTCAAGAGGAAGAAGAACTTTAATAAGAAGTTCAAGAAGAAGAAGAACAAGTAAAAAGTCACATACTGAGAAGCTGGAACATCTTCAGGGATATGTTGCATTCGAGTTTCATCATTTTCATAGGCGCCAAAGTGATCTTTTTTCAATTTACTCTTGTACTTTCTCCGGGCATCTTGAACTGATTCCAAAGTCTATTTTTTTCAGCTTCGGAAATATCATTTTTATCCTACAATTGGTCTCAAATCTGTTAGTGCAGAAAATATGAAAGATTTTCAAACAAAAATTAAAAATTAAGAAGTTTAGACCTTGGTATATTCCCATATATCCTCTTTTGTGTCCATCTTCCTCCAATCCAAAATATCAAGAGGACATAGAGTCGCACTCCTTCCCAATGCACCGAGAAAGTTTCCAAACTCAATCACAACCGCTTCACTAGGACCGACGGGTTGATTTAAGTTGTTAAGTAAAATCAATTTACGCTCATGTCGTCCATGTATATTTTTTATCTTTGTTTTACCTCTTGTTCTTGTTTGATTAGAAGGGTCTTCAACTATACGAACCAAAGAAAACCACCAAATCACTATTGCCAATACATTTTTTATGTGTTACATCTCGCTTTTCGTATGATTAAAGTTTCGTCTTCAGTTAATTGACGTAGACTCGGAGATGAGATTTTCTTGAGATTATAAGCATTTATGCTATTTATAACAAGCAATAAGTACGTGACGTGAAAGATAAAGGGTAAACGAATCAAAGAAAATGAGTTTCATTGAAGGTTGTTGATTTGGGATACAATACGGTCCGAGCGATAATACCCGGTATCTATGGACTAGTGTCATACAAGGTATAACATGACCATAATAGTAAGGTGTACAAGGTATGTTAAAGGTGAGCAGTATTTTAATCAAATTTAGATAATTTTTAATTATGTGGGTAATTGGTTAATTATTGAGTAATGAAATATTGCCTAATTAATTAGGGATATATGGGATAAGGATTAAATGACATGATAGCAGCCCCATAATCAACTTTAAGTGACTCACAAAACTGTAAGACATTAAGTACGTTTGGCTTCATTTGGACTTAAAGTAATCAAGTAAGAAATCACATAACCTTCTTCCTAATTCAAACATTTCAAAACAGACGCTAAACTCGATCCAACAAGTTTTCAACAAAATTTCTTGCAACAAAACAATTCCAACGAGAATTATTAGCACCTTAGCAACGAAAGATTTTGCGGTTCTAAAGGAGTACGGTGTAACCTTTTCCAAGAATATCATACGGATTTTTCCCTACTCCAGGTATGTTAAGGTTAAGCCCTTCCGTCATTTAGGCATGATCTCGTAATTACATGTATTTGGCAACAAAGCCAAGCTTAGCCCACGATATATTGGGCCTTATAGGATCATTCAGAGAGTGGGCCAAGTAGCTTATGAGTTGGAATTGCCGTCGGAATTGGATTCTATCCATCCGATTTTTCACGTATCTATGTTACGGAAGTGCATTGGCGATCCTACCCGGGTGGTGCCCACGGATGATGTACAGATTACAGAGGACTTATCATACGAGGAAATTCTGGTTGCCATCCTAGACAGACAAATCCACAATCTACGGAATAAGGAGGTAGCCTCCGTGAAGGTTTTATGGAGAAGCAAGAATGTGGAAGAGATGACGTGGGAAGCGGGGGAAGAAATAAAGTCTAAATACCCCCACCTATTTCAAACAAAAGATATGGCTTGAGGTGGGAAACCTCAGCACAGCTCTATTCAGGCCAGTAGGTCATCAAGTAAGCTCTCATTTTTTATTCTCAGAATTTATAATGGACAATTGTGTGAAGCCAAGTGTTGCTATTTATAGACAGTGGCCATGTGTGGCATATATAGTATATTTTCTGGCTGCGTACATGTTAGTTTTAGTCTAGTGTACAGAGGAGACACTGGCAAAGTTTTCCCAAAGTATCTAAGAGTAAACATTCGAGGACGAATATTTCTAAGGGGGGAAGGATGTTACATCTCAAATTTCGTACGATTAAAGTTTTGTCTTCCGTTAATTGATGTAGACTCGGGAATGAGATTTTCTTGAGATTATAAGCATTTATGCTATTTATAACAAGCAACAAGTACGTGCCGTGAAAGATAAAGGGTAAACGAATCAAAAACAAATGAGTTTCATTGAAGGTTGTTAATTTGGGATACAATACGGTCCGAGCGGTAATACCTAGTATTTATGAACTAGTGTCATACAAGGTACTACATGACCATGATAGTAAGCTGTACAAGGTATGTTAAAAGTGAGTAGTGTTTTAAGTAAGTTGAGATAAGTCTTAATTAAGTGGGTAATTGGTTAATTATTGGGTAATAAAATATTACCTAATTAATTAGGGATATATGGGATAAGGATTAAATGACATGATGTGGCGGGCCCCATTCAACTTCAAGTGACTCAGAGTCTTGATTGAACGGTGGCCATCTAAAGTAATATACATATGACACGTATAAGACATTTAGTAAGTTTGGCTTCATTTGGACTTAAACTAATCAAGTAAGAAATCACATAACCTTTTTCCTAATTCAAATATTTCAAAATAGACGCTAAACTCAATCCAATAAGTTTTCAACAAAATTTCTTGCAACAAAACAATTCCAACGAGAATTATTAGCACCTTAGCAACGAAAGCTTTTGCGGTTCTAAAGGAGTACGGTGCAACCTTTTTCAAGAATATCATACGGATATTTCCCTACTCCAGGTATGTTAAGGTTAAGCCCTTCCTTCATTTTGGCATGATCTCGTAATTACATGTAATTGATAACGAGGCATAAAGAGAAGTTCATACTCCCGAATTTATATACATTATCCTAGTCTCATAAATGATAATATTCTCCTTATCGGGACTTCATATTTAATTGAGCATTGTCTTCTTCCAGTCAAGAGATCAAAGAGCCTATATATACAGTATTACAGTATTTTCATTACCATCGAGCTATAATCGATGGACAGGCCCCTATTAGGCAACCTCTAATCAGATGGTATATACCAGGCCTACTATGGTCGAGCTCCTATGAGCGAGCTCAGTTGGCCGAGATACAGAGCCTAGTATGGCCGAGCTCCTATGAGCGAACCTACTACGGCAGAGCAGTTGTATATATATATATCGAGCCTTATGCGGCTGGACAACTATTTCACTTACTATATTGAGAGAATTGAGTCAGTATCGGCAGGTGAGCATATCATCAGATTATCTTTGACTCCAAGTTACTTTCAGCTATTATTATTATCAGTTCAGTTTCAGCTTTCAGTTATATTATTTCCTTGCATACTCGGTACATTATTTCGTATTGACATCCCTTTCTCTGGGGATGCTGCATTTCATGCGTGCAGGTTCAGATAGACAGACAGGTAGACCTCCTTAGTAGGTGTTGCCCGNAATATGTTGGTTTGTCAGGTGTAGTAGCTTTGAAGGCCTTGTCGGACCCGCCTTATATTGATGTTTAGCCAATATTAGTTTTCGTTTAGAGTCCCTTAGTCGCAAGGTGATATGCAAGGATAGATAAGGCATCGGGTGCCGGTCTCGCCCCCCGGGTTCGGGGAGTGACAAAAGTGGTATCAGAGCGGTTCTATCCTAGGGAGTCTACAAGTCGTGTCTAGTAGGGTCTTGTTTATAGATGTGTTGTGCATCACATTATATAATCAGGGGACTACGAGTCATTTAGGAGTTGGTTACCCTTCTTTTAAACCTAAATCATGCTATAGAACTGAGTTATAGGAAATTTGAGTTAAACTTACGCGTTGGCATTTGCATGCACAGATGATGGTGACTAGGAAGACTACGGCTAGCAAGAGAAGAGATACAGCAGTAGGTGAGGCGATTAGCAGGGTACCCCCCAGTAGATGAGGCCCATTACCGGCTCCTCCACTACCTGAGAAGATTCCTAGGGAGACCGCACATCCAGTCCCCCCTCCGCTTCCATCCGATCAGGACTTGAGGAGTGCGGTGCATTTGTTGACACAGTTGGTAGCTACCCATCAACAGGCTCGGGCATCCGCTAGTGCAGGATCTTTTGAGGGCTCTGGGAGTTTAAGGGTCCGAGAGTTTATTACTTTGAGTCCCCTAGAGTTCACGGGGACATATCAGAGGGAGGACCTGTAGGATTTCATAGATCAGCTTCACAGGATCTTTCGGGTTATGCATACCACGGAAAAAGAGGCAGTTGAGCTAATAGCTTTTTGACTCCGAGATATATCCATCCTTTGGCATGAGGGATGGACAAGGTTCAGGGGACGTGATGCACCTCCAGCTATTTGGGAGAATTTTTCGGATGCCTTCCTTGACCAGTACATACCGCGGGAGATCCGACAGGCTTGAGTTGATCAGTTTCTAGCCCTCAAGCAGGTCTATATAAGTGTTCAAGAGTATAGTCACCGTTTTGACTCATTGGCCAGATATGCACCATCCATAGTTGCTACTATGCGGGACAAGATTCACAAGTTTATAGCAGGATTGGCCCCAGAGTTGACCGAGGCATGTGCCATCGTTGCATTGCAGGATAGTATGGATATCTCTCGGATTCAGGCATTCGCCCAGAATATAGAAAGGGGTAGTCGTCGACAGCATGGTACAGAGAGGACTGAGTCAGGACAGCATAAGAGGATGAGGTTTTCCAGGTCTCAGGAGCAGTCTCAGGGCAGTTATAAGCCCTAATACTTCGAATGACCACATAGGCCTCCGCCACCTCAGCTACAGGGTTACAGGTATGACCGCTATACTCATTCAGGAAAAGGTGAAACCTCCCGGGCGTCAGGTTTGCAGCGACAGCGAGGTTCAGGGCAGACATGGCCATTTCTGCCGCGGTGTGACATATGTGGTAGAGGACACTTGAGCCAATGTCAAGCCGGTTCTGATGCTTGTTATACATGTGGACGTCCGGGGCATATGATGTGAGATTGTCCAAATAGAGATTCTGTGGGTATGACACAACCAGCGAATTCAACAATAGGATCATCTATGTTTGTGCATCCTTCAGGGCGCGAGTCTCAGTCTTCGGTAGGTAGAGGTCGAGGTCGAGGTCGAGGTCGAGGTCGAGGTAGAGGGTCCAGTTCAGGTGGTAACCAGAATCGTAGTTATGCTTTAGCGAGTCGACAAGACCAGGAGTGCTCACCAGACGTTGTGATAGGTATGTTGACCATTTTATCTCACAATACTTATGCCTTGATAGATCCAGGATCTACTTTATCATGTATTACCCCATTTGTCGCGGGGAAGTTTGGTATAGTGACTAAAATACTAAGTGATCCTTTTGCGGTATCTACACCGGTCGGAG